CCCCAAAAAAAGAGAAGACAAGCAGCTCCCAGGTGAGCACAACTTACCAAAGAACAAACATGGAAAACAGATAAAGAGTAAAGTATAATGACTAATGTAAGAGAATGAATGTCAGAAATATAAAAATCTAGAAGACTAATATTAGGCATGGAAAATGCTGTTGATCAGCTATCAAGTAAAAATGAAAACAACAATATGACTACAAAGGGAATAACAAAAATAAAGTCCACACCCAGAAAGGATTAGAAGGAAATACACAAAATGTCAACAACTGGGTGTGGGGGGTGGACTGTGGGCAACCTCTCTGTTTTCCTAATTTTCTATGGTGAACATAAATTGTTTGCATAATATCTAATGAAGAAAAGGTTAAAGTCCAGCGTAAACAGGCTTATCAAAAATGCTAATGGCTTCATTTTTAAGTGTTTGGAGCAAAACTGCTTTGGAAAAAGGGCAGAACTGTGGCTCTATTGTGCTATTCTAATTACTGACAGTAGAGCAGCTATAATTACATAAGAACTAAAACCCAAGAGAGCACCTGGGCGGCTCAGTCGTTACGTGTCCAACTTTTGATTTCAGCTCAGGTCATGATCTCACAGTTCAGTTCATGAGATTGAGCCCTGCATCAGGCTCTGCACTGATAGCGTGGAGCCTGCTTGGGATTCTCTCTCTCCTGTTCTCTCTCTTCCCAGCTTGCACACAGAAGCTCTTTCTCTCTCTCAAAATATAAATAAACAACAAGAAAGAAAGAGGAAGGAAGGAAGGAAGGAAGGAAGGAAGGAAGGAAGGAAGGAAGGAAGGAAGGAAGGAAGGAAGGAAGGGTCATTCTTTGAAATTAAAAAAGAAACAAATCTTCTCAGAATCTACGATCCCTTAAGAAACCAAGTCTTTCCCATAAGAAATGACAAGAGTTTACACTAATCTCTTTCTTTTTTGATACGGTCACCAGACCAAGAAATTCAAAGAATACCATAGACAGTGTTCTACCTCAAGTTTATTAAAGCATGTAATCTAGTTTCTCATGACAACAAAATTAAATGTGGACCTGATAACAGAATAAGACTAATAATTCATGGATTTTGTTCAAGATTTACCAACAAGATAAGGATGCAGAAACCATGCATACCAAAGTGAGGTGTTCATGCTAAAATGCTGAAAGGCAGAGTTAAGATAAAATCAACTCAATAGGCTGAAACAGTTTTGAACTCAACAGGATGTAAACTGATAGGGATAAATAAAATGGTAACTTCTTTAAAGTGCCGCAAGTACAAGATGAGAAAGATTGTTTGAATGAGTGCAGCTCCTAGGAAAAAGCCCTGGATGGTTAGGTTGACCAGATTAATACAACACTAAGAAACAGCCAGAACAGTGACTACAGCAACAGTCCCGCCATACTCTCCATGAATCCAACCGTATCTGAAATCTACACCTCACCTCATGTAGGGCATTTTGAGACTAGAAAAAATCTAGAGGAAGAAGACCAGAAAGTCATGACACATAAAGAAAGTGTAGGGCATAGGCTGCCATCCCCTCACCAGAAGGTTCACTGTGTGAATAAGGAAAGGACTTAATGTTGTTCTAAGAGGTACAGAATAACTAACAGAAATTACTAGAAAGCAATTTCTGCTCAACATGAGGAAATATCCAAACACAAGACTGGCCACTTCATAAATAGTTTTTGTTTCATCACTAGGAAATATTCAGGCAGAGTCAAAAGAACATTGGAAACTTTGCCAAAAGGCCTGCAGCACTGGGCAGGAGGTTGGTCTAGATAACCTCTAAGGTCCCCCTTCCAACTATGAGAGCTTTGATCTTGGGGATAAGGAGACTGAAGCTGCTTGATGCTGAATCACTCAAGAATAGCAGGAACTCTTGATGCAAAATGGCCGAGTACAGCAGATCCCAAACTATGTCCTTGAATGCAGACAGAGGGATTAGAACATGGGCCTCCGTTAGACCAGCCTTCAAATTCCATCCTTACTACTTGCCTCGCTGTGGGACCATGGGCAAGCTTCTCAACCTCTCAGCACCTTAGTTTCCTCATCAGTAAAACAAACGAAGAATACTCTCCCCTCACAGCATTGTTCAAAGGATAAACTGACCACCTAACAGAGTGACCGGCATATAATAACTATTTATCAAGTGATAGCTTTTTAAAAAAATTTTTTTAATGTTTTATTTATTTCTGAGAGAGAGAGTGAGACAGCGTGAGCAGGGGAGGGTCAGAGAAAGAGGGAGACACAGAATCCGAAGCAGGATCCAGGCTCTGAGCTAGCTGTCAGCACGGAGCCCGACATGGAGCTTGAACCCATGAACCTGGGTGAGATCATGAACTGAGCCAAAGTCGGACACTTAACCGACTGAGCCTCCCAGGCGCCCCTCAAGTGATAGCTTTTATTAATGTCGGTATTAAGAAAAAGAAGAAGAAATAACTTGACACCTGCTGTGGCTTCAGGAGTTAAGATGAGTATTGCAATGTCCCCATTCTCCCAAGAGGCTAGGCCACTTAGATGACTACCTAGAATATGGAGAACGTCAGATAATGATAAAAACAGATTTATGGGGCACTTAACTATACATCAGACATACCACTCTAAGAACTGTAACATTTTAATAAAGCCTCTCAATAAGCCTATAAGAAATACTGTTATCTGCCTTTCCAGAAGAAACTGAGATTTAGAAACTAAATAACTTGCCCAAGGTCACAGAGCTAAAAGTGACAGGTCAGGCATCAGAACCCATGCTCTTAACCAGAACTACAGCAGCTCTCAATCCTGACTATACATATTTAGAATTACCTAGAGAGACACAAAAGAAAGAATTCTCTCTGGGACCTTTATAACCCCCACTCCCATTCTGATTTGAATTGATCTGGCATAGCCAGGAGGGTTCTCCAGAGTTCAGCAACACTATCCTAGGGCAGGCTGCCTCCTAGAGGAAAACCAAGTTGCAATGAACAACTTGCTCCAGCTGACATCCCAGGTAGATGGTACTGCTTTTTAGAAATATCTTCAGAACCATGAGATCAGGATTGCTTTTCCAAAAAAACAAAGAAACAACCAAACAAACAAGACAAACAAACAAAAAACAACAAAAAACCACCACCCACGGGGTGCCTGGGTGGCTTAGTCGGTTAAGTGTCCGACCTCAGCTCAGGTCACGATCTCACAGTTCGTGGGTTTGAGCCCTGAGTTGGGCTCTGCTGACAGCTCAGAGCCTAGAGACTGCTTCAGACTCTGTGCCTCCCTCTCTCTCTGACCCTCCTCCACTTGTGTTCTGTCTGTCTGTCTCTCTCTCTCAAAAATAAACATTAAAATATTTTTTAAACCACCTACAACTTTTTATTTATTTAGTTAAAACTTAATCCTGAAAGTCATCCTTTTCAGGTAGGTGTCATTTTCCTACTTTATAGACAAGGAGACAGACTTAAAAAGATTCAATAACTTGCCCACATTCACAAAGAAATGAAGACTGAATTCTAGGAGGGCTTAAGACCCTAAAGAGCTCGCACAGAGTTGGCAGAGAAATTTTAGTGGATGATTAGGGCTGGTTTATGGAGGAAGTGACATATGAGCCAGACAAAGCATGGCACAAGGAAGGGTTAATCAGCAGAATGAATAGGATCAGAGATAAGATGTCATACAAGAAATGTTCACAGGACTAGACATAAACAGGTGGTGAAACTACAGTGCTTAAAAGCAGAATTGTGAGAAAGGTCACAGGGGTCTACTTCAGCCCAGACTGTATAGGCACATGAATGCCAAGCTGCACAGCTGTCCTTGGCCTTCAGAGGAGTTTTCCTAAAACAGAAACTCACTCAAGCAGATGCCTGGAAACCCAGCCTGCAAGGGAAGCAAGGTCATATTTCCAACTTGAACTCACGATGCAGAAAAAGAGTAAAGCAGCATCCAAAGTTGAGCTCTGCATCCAAGCTACTACCTTGTCCACTAGGAAGGACTTAGGAGGTTTGAGTTTATGGCATCATGTACATATTATAAGGTAACAGAGCAAAGTAATTAGCAGCAAGGCTTTAGAATCAGAGAAACCTGGGGTCACACCCTGACTCCACTTTTACTAGCTGCATCAGCCTGGGCATTTATTACATTTCTTTGAGTCTGTTACCTTCTTCGTAAAATAGGGATAAAAATATAATCCTTATAGGGCTGTTGTGACAAACGAATAGGAAACAAATATGTAATATGCTAATTAACATAGTGCCTGGTAAGAGAGCAAGCTCCCAAAAAACAGTAGCTATTCTTTCATTCATTCAACATGGTTTTATTAACCAAGCAAGCCTAGAGAAATTCTCTGCAAAGTGGAAAACTGTAACATGCATTCAGAGGGATGTCTATTAAGTCCTTCACAAATAACCAAATTTGCAAATACAAGCGAGGGAGACTTTTTGCATTGAGTGGTATAATATGGTTTGTGAACTAAAAAAGTAATATTTTTCCTTTTATTTATAAATTGCTTTGGAAGACTGGGAAAGATTACTATATATAATTCAGGATGAGTTCTAGGAAGAAAAATATGCACCCTAACAAAACATAAAAATAGAATTAAAAACCTGTATCAACAGATGCATTAATTGCTTCGCTACCAATCCCAGTATCCCTCTGACTCCCCTAAAAACAGTATCACTGTGATCCACTCCCACTACATTTACAGGCAAGGAAAAGTTACCACTTCCATGATAAAAGCAGAAAATGAGTAAGAATCTGTAGAAGTATAGGTTCTAATCTCAGCTCTGCCATTAACTGGGTGACCTTCTGTGGGCTCTCTCAAACAAGATAATCTCTTTTTTTCCAGCTATAACATCTGAGACATAGCTAACAGCAGCTCAACTTTGAACAGGTCACCTCAGAAATGGAGCTTTCGCAAGTCCCTTCCTTTGGGAGTGTCTGGATGAGGACAGGGCATGCAAGGCAAGGCCAGAATCACAAGGCCTGGGAAAGGTCATTCTCTGGGGAAATGCAAAAAAATGCCCCCCAAACACCATGTACCTTTCTTCATCATGTCTCGGTCCAAGGCTACATTTCTTTGGGCAAGATTTACTTCTGATCGAAAATGGAAGCGCTTGGCTCGCTGTTCTTTCTTTTCAATTGCTTCCTACAAGGTACAGAAAAAGCCAAAGAAGTGACACACAGAGAAGGAGAGTTAAATCACAAATGCAACATAACACTTCCGTGACACCCTAAAGTAAGTCAGAAGAAAAAAGCAACATCATGCCTTTGATGATTTTTGCCGACGACTGGATATTCACAATGACTGGGAGAGTGTACACTAACACTGTTATCATTTATAATAATCTCCACAAGTCGGTGCCTATCACTGTGTCGGGGGCATAGCAGGAATTCGAGGAATATTTGTTAACTCCACGAGTAATGAATGTTTTAGTTCTCTGACATTTTATTTATTATCAGCAATCATCCAAACAAATTACAACTGAACAATCTCCCTCCAATCTTCCAGGTCCAGCAACTAAGGCGTAAGAAAGCCAAAAGGTTTGCTGGAGATTCTTTGGCTAGTAGGACGGATAGATCTGATCTTGGTTCTATTTCTAGAAGCCCCAAAACCACCACCCCCATTTCACATCATCTGTGAGCATGGTAATCACACCTATCACATTATGTCTGCCTGAGCAGTCCACTCCCTAAAGCATTTTCCCTGTTTAAAAATAACACTGAAGCAAAGAAATTCTCTCCTCTATTCTAGGCTTGTGTCCATGGAATTGCCACTTTTCATCTGTAAGTGACAAGCAGCACTGATATTTCACTGAAAAGCAAAATAATCAGCTTCATAAATTTTTCTCTAAGAGGTAAAATAAATCCAGGTCCAACTATGGGTTTCTGATAGCTCTTAGGAACTCTTCACTAATTGTATATTGATTTTGCCATCCTAATTGAAGGTCTGACTCCAAGAAAGCTTGTGGGGATTGGTAAAGCGGCAACACTTTGTTACTCACCAATAGTTACGCTAATTTTCTTCATAGAAGCTAATTTTCTTCATAGAACTCCGTCCCTCCCCTCTCCCCACCCCGGCCACAATAATTAACCTACCTTCCCTTAGTAACAACTTAAGTACCAGTTCTGGGGCTACCATCTTTTCCCAGACACGTTTCCCATAATGGCAAACTGTACAGGAGTAAGAACAGCACAGTCTACTTCTTTGTCAATTACAGTAAGAAAACATCTTGACTTTAGTCTATTTTCTTGCCTGTCTAAAAGATGATCAGTTCTGGGGCGCCTGGGTGGTTCAGTTGGTTAAGCGTCCGACTTCGGCTCAGGTCATGATCTCAAGGTTCGTGGATTCGAGCCCCGCGTGGGGCTCTGTGCTGACCGTCAGCTCAGAGCCTGGAGCCTGTTTCAGATTCTGTGTCTTCCTCTCTATCTGACCCTCCCCTGCTCACACTGTCTCTCTCTCAGAAATAAATAAAAAACATTTAAAAAAATTTTTTTAAGATGATCAGTTCCTTGTTTTGGCCTTTAGGCAATCTGAAACAGATTGAGACCCAGATAAACTATAAAAAGGTGAGCATGACATATTTATTTTTATTTTTGTTTTTATACACCTAATATAGTTACATGGTACTATTATTCAGAAATACAATTCAAAATTCTATTCTAAACTTAATTGCACACATTAAAATCAGAAAGAATGTCTAAGTTGGATGTCACTAATTACAGCGACAAATGTGTACTGACTGTTTATAAAAGGAAAATAGGTTTGGCTCTGTGAGAAGTTACAGGAAAACTGGTAACCTAGTAATAGCAATCACCAGATAAAAGGCAATACTCCCAGGTACTGACTAAATCAGCTGACTCGCCCATCAAAGTTTAGACAGCCACAGAGTCAGGAAATCCTATTTTTCTAAGCCTGCAACCAATGAAGAATAAAGACATTTACTAACAGCCTACTATATGCCAGATACCTGTCATGTTTTGTTTCATTTAAAGTGGAGTCATCATACACATTTTTAAAGCATGGACATAAGATAAGAAAAGCATTCCTAGCACAGAACTTTTTCCAGACATGGTTAAGCACAGGCAACTAGGTACATGGATTTTATCTTGTCATAAATGTAAGAACACAAATGCTACCTGGATGTTTTCAGGAGGCATGAAGGCATCATTGTGTACCACAAAATTCAAGTTAAAAAACTGCTTTAATACAGCAACAAAAGAAAAAAGGAGGTAAAGAATAACTGCTGTTCTACAAGTCCTAGGCACCAACCTCATTGAGTTCACTTGCTTATCAAAATGAATAAATTATGGCCTGTCTTACCTTCGAGGTGACATCAATTCCAGTGATGAAGCTGCCAGCCTTGTTTTCGTATCTTCTGCTTGTGTCCTAACACAAGGGGGAAGGATGAGAAATGCTAACAGCAACTGAGGAAAAACTCATGATAGAAGACAGTTCCCCAACAGATTCCTTTTGGATAGTCATTCCTTTCAGCAATCCTTCCTCACCCTGACAACACTTTATTATGAGGAAGTCTGTCTCAGTGACTCTGGGAAGTAAGCAATCAACCCTACTAACAAGAAGTCTTTTCTAGATCAAACCCTGTCCCAAACTGTAACTAAGTCTATGGGATGAAGGAATTTATGGAAAAGAAAATCTACAGGCTTCCATGAAAAATGTCCAAGTTAAGGCACACTCATTCATCTCCCCAACCCACACAGGACAAATTCATCATGTGACGCCACCAGGTGGAGCACATGTCCTCACCAAAATGCAGACAGTCCAGCCTCACGTAGAGCTCCTGGGAAAACAGCACAGTGCAATGAAAAGCAGATGGGACTCCAAAGCGGAAGACTCAAGTCACAGCTCTGAGAGTCGCTGACTACATGCACTGTACCATTCCTTTGGTCTCTCTGGACTGGGTCTCCTCCACGGTATCTGCCAGCCTTCCTGAGCTCTTGAACTGCCCTCCCATTTGCTCTACAGAACTTTCCATTGCTCCAGCAAAACAATCTCGTTCCCATCTTAGAGCCTCTGCACCTACTATTGCCTGGGTTGGGAACACTTTCTTCCAAATTTGCACGTGGTTGGCTCCTTTTTGTCATTTAGGCTTCAGCTTAAATATCACTATCTCAGAGGAATTCCCTGACCATCCTATCCCATGTGGCTTCCCGCCCTGCACACCCTCCCTATCTTCTGCACAGTCTGCCCCATTAGCACGTTTTTACTTTCTTCCTAGCACTTACCACTACAAAAAAAATTCTTTATTTGTGTCCTCCGGCTGAAAAATAAACTCCCGTAGAGAGTTTAATCTTAATCTTGATCCAGTGCCTAGGACTGTGTCTGGCACATAAGTGGGGGGGGGGGGGCGGCAAGAACTGCATGTTGCACAGAATGAATAAAGGGATGATACAGACTTCTCAACTGCAGTGATACTTAAATACAATATAGTAAATGGTAAAACGACACTATGTTAATTGTTGTTACCAGAGTCATTATCATTTGCTAACTTTAGTGATTCTATCTTTACCTTTTCCCATAATTTCAGTCTAAAAGCCAGTCTTGCTGACCTGTGGTAAAAAGTAGTTCGGGTCACAAGAGAAATTAAGTACATGAGAGCAGCCACGCAGGCCTGAGACCAGCCCTAAGAACCAGACACAGACCCACCAAACCAAAAGCAAAACGCCTCTCACCACCCCCATGCGATAAAAGACGGACCACTGCTGGTTCCTTTATGTTTTGGTCTCACTAAGGGTCCCCTGCTAGGGCCACCGTGAAGGTGTTACAGAGCAGGTGGAATGAGGGCAAGATTTGACTCTGAAGTCACAAAAGAAACACTGAATTTCTGCTGCTGACAAGTCCAACCCTCCAAGAGAAACCGCGAGTGCTGTGTTTAACAAACAGCAGCTCCACCGGAGCTGCTGAACTCACAGGGAGACCTGGACACCAACGTCACCCGACAGTTCCTTCTGTTGCCGCCTGCCACCCCCCCCCCCCCGCCGTCTTTATCTCAAGCCTCAGACAACCCCAGCCCCTCCTCATTCACCCCTCTGCACAGCCTGGCTCAGACAAGCAGCAAAGGGGGTGTCCTCAACTACCCCCCTGCGCTCCCGCATCTTCTCCAGCCCCCTCAACACCCATTTCCGGGCGCCCTGGGGTCCCTTCTCCCGTTCCCCATCTCTCCTCGAGCTTGGCGCCTCCGCCTCCTAAGCGCTCGCTCGCCTCTCTCCGCTGCCGGTGACTTCCCTCAGCCCAGGCGCCGGCCGCCTCCCCCGCGGGACACCAGCTTGGCGACCTCCTCCTCACCCCCGCCCCCCGCCCGTACCGGAATCAGTTCTTTCAGTGAGCGCCGCACTGGCACAATCTCCAGCTCGCCCTCCTCCACCTCCATGGGCTCCGGCTCGCCACGCTCCAAACCGGAGTCCGTCTCAGGCGACGGGAGGCCCAGGGCCGGCCCCGCCGGGGCCTCTGCTTTCACCGACACTCGCAGGCCCCGTACGGCCGCCATAGCCGCCCGCCGGCCGCACCACTGAGAGCCCGCCTTGCACACCCGCTGGCTAGAGTGCCGCTGCCACTGGCCATAGAGCAGCCGCCGCCGCACCCTAGAGTGTCACCTGCTTCGGCTACAAGCCCCCCACTTGGCGCTTCCGCCCCCTCGTGCCGGGAGGAACCCAGGACAGCTGGAGCAGGACCTGGTAAAGAGAAGGCGGGCTCGAGTGAGGGCGTGGGCGGGGCCTGCTGGAGGGGGCGAGGCCTGAGGGAGATCTGTGTATACCTTGAGCAGTAAACCTCTTATAAAAAGGCAACTTTACTGAGCGATCGTTACATATCAGTGTTCCAAGTGCTTGAACTCATACAACTCTATTGAATAGGTGCTATTACTACCACCATTTCACATATGAGGACACTGAGACATAGAAATTTACACAAGGGTTTATTTAAGGAATAAAACCTGAATCTGGACCTCCCGAGTCCAGCTCCAGACCCCAGAATGAGCCTTGGTCTATCACTTCTGGGCAATGTGTAGGTTTACAGCATATTTGTCTTGAGAACCTTTGCCTCTTTCGAGTCTCCCAATAATTGGTCCATTTTACATGTATAAAAATTGAGACTCCAAGCGGGTAGTGTCCTGCCCAAAGCCCAGAGCTTGACCTGCAATTTCTTGACTCCCCAGGGCTCTGTCTACTGTAAACTCCTGAGCAAGGTTTCTTACGTTTCTAACAGCCTGACTGGGAGACAGAGAGAGTCCTCTAGGCTTCCAGAGGGTACCACTGGTTAGTTTTTGCTTTGAGTCCTGATTTTTCACCTCCCTCCCTGTGTTACCTTGGTCTAGTTCTGGCCCCTATCTGGGCCCTATCTTCCCATTTGACGAGGGCCGGGTCTCCCAGGCCCTACCAGCTCTGACCATGGAGGAACAAATAATTATAAACCAAGGGAGAACATGATCAGCAACAGACACACCTGGGTGTGCCCCTTGTACCACGTGTGACTTTGACCAAGCCACTTAAACCTTCAAAAATCTCAGTTTCTTCATCAGCAAAATGGGACAATATTTCTTACCCCCCCCCCCAAAAGGAGATTGTGAGGGTTAAATGATGTATATAGATGCAGGACCCAACAGAAGGGGTACAACACATCAAAGCTTTTCTTAAATGTTTGCTGAATCACAGCACAGACACAAGGTGGGGCTCTTTAGAGGGCTAGTTTTGTTTGGTGACAGTAGTTACAAAATTGGATTGAATGCATGGAATGCATATGCACGCCTTTTTAAGAACATTTCAAAGCAATTTTGTGCTTGGGGTGGCCAGCTTTGGGTGAGAGTCACAGACCTCACCATTACACTTATTTTCTAGGCCTGAAGGGGAGGGGGGTTAGGGAGAGAAGCGAGCAATCCTTCTTCAGCCTTGGCCTCAGGAGGCCAGCAGAAAAAGCTGGATAGGCCCTCTCCCCGCAGGATAGGGGACTTGTTGCTTGAGGACTCAGGCACTGCAGTTCGGCACAGTTCAGAGGAAACCCAGTCCCTTGGTGACAGCTCTAGCTGTCAGGAGAATTAGGAATCCAGAGCAAGCCAGGGCATCAGGCAAACAAGACTAGACTATGCCAGGAAACCCCTTTGTAGCCAATCCCTTGTGGGTTCATATAATTTACCCCACCTCGCCACCTTCACCTCTGTCCTCAGTGTTAGCCTACTGTAGGGGAGCCACAGAATCAGGAGGGGTAAAGAATAATTTTCCAAACAGTCAAAAAACATGACTTAAATATAAAAGGAACACATGTCAAAGTGTTTATTTGTTGATTAATGAATGAGACCATCAATAAGATATGAAGACTAGTTCAAAAGAGAATTTGAGAATGCGTACAGAGTTGGTCAGTCAAAGGAATACTGCAATGAACTTAACATGACAGGTTAATGTCCCCCAAGGCAAGAAAGTGCAACCATTGGGGTTCCCTTTTCTACCAGACAGAAAATATCTGCATTGCTATTGGACAAGAATTATTTACTCATTATAAGTCTCCTATAAATTAACCTCTACACTTACAGTAGAGATTTGTTGGCCATTGGTGATCTTGAGGAGACCAATGTCCATGAAGGGGAAGGTAGATTAATGGTGGAATGTGAGAAATTATGGTTGACTCTTTTGAAAAATTTGTGAAGATGGGGACAAGGAAGGATATTAACAGGGTCTTCTATAGGATTCACTCTTTTTTTCTTTGACTGAAGTTGGCCACACCCTCTCCTTTCTTTTTCTCCCATTTGAAAACAATAGAAGCATACATCTCCTAGGGTAACAAAAGGAAAAGCCATTAAAAGGTAATATAAGCTTCTAGGGTGAAATCAAATGCTACCTGAGAATTGGTAACATGGTCCACCGACCTGATGTGATGCCTATTCAGAGATGTTCTTTAATGCCATTTTATTTTTTTTAATGTTTTTATTTATTTGTGAAAGAGAAAGAGAGAGACAGGGTGAGCAGGTGAGGGTTAGAGAGAGAGGGAGATACAGAATCTGAAACAGGCTCCAGGCTCTGAGCTAGCTGTCAGCACAGAGCCTGACACAGGGCTCAAACCCACAAACTGTGAGATCATGACCTGAGCTGGAGTCAGACGCTTAACTGACTGAGCCACCCAGGCACCCCTTTAATGCCATTTTAAATTGGGCAAACACAACCCCACACTCCACACACCCCAAATTCATGTCTATCCTTGGAACATGTGCAGGTTGTTAGTTAAGGAAAATTTTCCACAATTAAAGGAAAGGTCCTGAGGCAGCCAACCCTGGTGAGGGAGTTGTATCCATGTCCCCCAACCTGCTACACAGGTAAATTCTTGAAAAGACTATCTGCCCTCATTTTCTCCATCTGACTTGACCACTCAGCATCATGGACACTGATGGCCACTCCCTAGTTCTTGAAACCACACACACTCTTCCATTATAAAGCCACACCCGGTTTTTCTTTTTCACCTTCCCTGCCCCTCCTGCTCCAATGCCTTTTCAAGTTCTTCCTCTTCACCCAGTCCTCCAGGGGTTAATCCTAGACCCTCTTTCTTCTCACCCCATGCCCACATGCTAGGCCATCTTATCACAACTATAGCTTCCAGTTCCACTGCCAACCATACTCCAAGGACACCCACATCTCCATCTCCAGTTCTCCCCTCTCCTCCAAGCTCCAGTCCCACATGTCTAAGTACCTACTGCATATCTTCCCTGAATATCTCAAGGCACCTCTGGCTTCCTACGTACCCCTCATGTCCATCTGCTTCTTTGCCTCCTCTTGGCTACCACTCCTCAGCTTCTTTCCATCCCAGCCATCATCATATCGTATCTTATCTGGACACTGCAGTGCCCTTCCCCCACTGATTTCTCCATTTTTCTGGTTCCTCCACCCTCATCCCTCCTCTACACTGTAGCCAGACTGATCCTTTCAGTACACATTATCCAGGTCTGCCTTCCCCTCCAGTTTCACTTTGCACTGTTCTCCTCCTCACGCCCAACATCTCTGCTTCACTTCTTGGTAAGCACCATGCTCCCTCCTACCACAGGATTACTGCACAACTGGACCTTTACTTGGAGCTTTCTTTCCTCTCCCTTGGCCTAGTTAGTGCTTCTCCAACTTCAGATCTCAGCTGGAACCTCCTTTTCTCTAGAAAACCTCCCTAACTACTCTTAGGAAGCCACCACAACAAGCCTTTCCAATAAGAGCACTCATATCAGTTCAAAATCATCCACACACATGGAAACTTGAGAGCCATGAGAGCAGGAATAGTGTTGATTTAGCTGGGTGTCGAACTCCGTGTCTAGGTATAGAAGGCCCTGGACATATACTGAAATGATGGATGGATGGATGGATGGATGGATGGATGGATGGATGGATGGACATATCAAAAGAAAATGAGACTTTTGCCCACATTAGATTCAGAAACATGGAGCAACAGATTTAATACCTATCTGTACCAAATTCTAGACCGAGGGTATTCATGTCAACCATCATTGTTTGTTAACATCACCTAGATAAGGAGGAGTGCCCGGGTGGCTCAGTTGGTTGAGCATCCAACTCTTGATTTCAGCTCAGGTCATGACCTCAGGGTTGTGGGATCAAGCCCCATGCCAGGCTCCACACTGGACATGGAGCCTGCTTAAGATTGTCTCTCTCTCCCTCTGCCCTTCTTCCCACTTGCCCCCTCTCTCTCTAAAATAAAAAAAAAAAATAGTCACCTAGGTAAAGATACATACTTGCATCTGGTAGATAAATAAGTTCTGGAGATGTAATACACAGTACTGTGATTATAGACAACAAAACTATTTTAAATACTAAACTTGCTAAGAGACTAGATCTTAATTGTTCCCACCACGAGAAGAACTGAAATTATGTGAAGAGAAAGAAGTGTTACCTAATACTACAATGGCAATCATATTGCAGTAAAAATGTATCAAATCAATATGTTCTACACCGTAAACATACTGTAATATATGGCAATTACATCTCAATTAAAACTGATGAAAAAACTTAAAAAGTCACCTAGGAAGCTGAAAAGATTACATACTGTATGATTCCAACTCTATGACATTCTGGAAAAAACAAAACTATGGAGACAGTAAAAAGACAGTGGTTGCCAGGGGGTCGGTGAGAGTGGGGTGAAGGAGGGATAGACAGGTGGAACATGGGGGATTCTTAGGGCAGTGAAACTATTCTGTATGAAACTGTAAGGATGGATACATGGTATTATACATTCCTCAAAACTCATACAATGTACAGCACAGCCAGTAAACTCTATAAACTGTGGTCTCTAGTTAATGATGCTGTGTGGATACAGCCTCATCATTTGTAACAAATGGACCACACTAAAGCAATATGTTACTAACAGAGGAAACTGGGAGACAGGAGAGGAGGTTGAGAGGGTATATGGGGACTCTGTACTTTCCTCTCAATGTTTCTGTAAGCCTAAAACTGTTCCAAAAAATAAAGTCTATTAATTAAAAGAAAAAAAAATCCTGACACCCAGACTAGACCCCAGGCCAAATAAATCAGATTTCTGAAGGTGGAGCCCAGGCATCAGGATGTTTTCAAAGCTCCCTAGGAGATCCTGGCAGATAACTACTATCTAGACTGAATTGGGAATGGGAGGGGCAGACGGCAGCTGGGAGCCCTCTCTCAGCTCAGAGGTGGCGTTCCCGGGAAGATGGGTGCATATTGGCACACCTCGCCTGAAAGGAGACAAGAACACCTGAGGACAAGGGGACCCTCTTTTATGAAAGCTCCAGCGCCTTAGGGATGGTCCCCTAGATTCTGGGGGAGACCAAGTGTACAGATTTAAACAGTTCCTTCTGGTGTTGCAGTTCCCCATTGTTCCCGTTCGGTGCCTACAGTATAGAGCCCTGTACAGTCCATGGGGCGTGGGCTCTTGAGGAGAACAAAGGTCTGTGGCGGGGACAGGGAGGGAAATATCACAAGCCTCTCAGTGCAGACTGTAACAGCCGATTGCATGGACCACGGCTAGAAAAGTGACTGCTCTTGCGGAGAATGGGGACAGAGTGAGCCAGGCAGTAACAGGAAAGAAAGAGCCAGAGCAGAGGGCATCTGAGAGAGAAAGCAAGAGGGGCTTCCTCCTACATGCCCTGGAGTGTGCGGAGTGTGCAGCAGTAGCTTTTGGAAAGCCAAGGGGGGTGGAAATCTGGGTTATAGCTACAGGGGAGGCCTGAGCTAGTTTGCAGGCTGAGGAGCAGGTACAGGGAACTAGAAAAAGCCAGAGATACACAGGCCAGAAAAAGGCCTCACTATGGATAAAGTGGAGAGAATGAGGCTCTCAGAAGGAAGACCCCATTTTGTGATTCAGCTCAGAGTTGCTTTTTGAATGGTCTTCATCATGGTGAAACAGTCAATGGGCAGATATAAGTTGAGAAAGTGAATCAGCCAGTGGGTGAGGTTGCAATTCCTGGGCCCTGACTGCAGTCTTGTACAAGAAGGACTGGACACCAGACCACATGCCAAGGGTGTCTCAGGGGCTATGGACCAGGGATGAATTCCTGGAGGATGTGACTTGGAGTTGGTGGCCTACGCAGTAAGGAGGGCAGGAGGCTGACCACAAAACTAGGATGGGCTAATGACAAACCAGTCAGCCTGACCTGGGAGGGGATTGGCAGCTGCCCTGGGGAATGAAAGGATCCTGACTTTGTCCCCTGGGTCATCCATGCTGGAGAAATAAATGAGTCTGAGGTCCCAGAGGGCAAAGCCAGGTCTGTGTATGTATGGGGGGGGGAGACCTGGGCAGAAGATGGTCATTTAAGCCATGGCCACCCAGTCCACCAGGGGGCTAGAATGGTTCAGGAAGTCCTTGCAGACCACGGCTCTGTTCTTCAAGTGAGACGGAGGACAAGCCCTTCCCCAGAACTTTCTGGGCCTCAGTTGACTCCCAGGGTCCAGTACCACCCACTGCATGGCTCCCCTGGCCACCCTGGGCAGAGTCCCAGTGGCCCAGGAAGCAGGCCTGCTTGTTAGCCCCAGGAGACACTATGTAGGTGTGTAGGCATGTGTGTGTTTGTATGTGTGAGACTCCATAATCTGTGGGGTGTTTATATGGGTCCCAGTATGTGTCTGCATATCCCCCTGGGAAAACTGGAACCCTCAGTAGCCTTGAGAACCCCTCCCTCTTCTACCTTAGGCTGAGACCATCTAGGATGATAGGTATTGGGGTGAGCAGAGACCAAAGCGCCCGTGGGTTCCAGAGCTCAAAGAGATTCTCTGCAAGCAATCAGAGCACTCCAAGGGCAAAATCCTGACTGGCTCCTAGCCTCCAGTTGGACACACTGGCCTCGGCTCAGTTCCCCTGTGTGTTTAGGCTTGGAAGTACAGTCTCTTTCTGGTTTTCCTAGATGTCCTTACCCTGTGTAGAGTTCTCCATTTTCCTGGCAGCTGATGTGGGAAGACCCGCATGGGGTGGGTGGGCTGGGGATGTGGGCGCTAGTCTGGATCTTCCCTGACTTGCTATGTGACTGAATGAGACACTATTTCCTGGGCCTCAGTTTCCCTACCATAGTGTGCCTCCTAGACTGCTTGTCCTCATGGGGAAATGGTATCATGCACCTGTGGTCCTATTCAAAGCTCTTATGCATGATTTGGCCTGTCATACCCAGGCCCAGGGCTTGGTCAACTCCAGGAATGAACCAGCCCCTTTGACAAACAGAGGCAGGGATAGAGAAAGGCAGTGTCCTAGAGGAGTGGGTGGGTCTGAAAAGCTGTGGGGAGTAAGGAGCTAATGGAGTGTGGGGCATGGTTAGGAGAGCATCCACAGAGGGTAGACTGATGGCAGGGGCCTCAAAGTGGAGGAGCATGAAAGGGTTCTGAGAGGGAGAAGTATGGCCAGGTCGGTGCCTGAAGATTGCTCCGGCAGCCGTAAGAGGATGGATTGTAGTCCTAAGTACCAAGGCCAGGAGATCGGAGAGGAAGTGAGAGATTGTGGGGAAGAACTAAGAACAGACCTACTTACTGGTCTTGGCATTTGGGAAACTTCTGCCTGGCCACCAGCACCCCTCTTGGAGAGGGCTTGGTACACTCCCTCATGGGACTTTCACAGGATGACCAGGAAACAGGCAGGAGAAACTTTGGTATCCATTTCTCAGATGGAAAAACTGATCACCAGGCTGGATAGCCTTTGGCTTGGTCTCCTGCTTGGTCTCCAGTTTTACCCAGCTGAGAACTCCACAGACGGGTAAATACCAATCTTGCACGATATGCTGAGCCCATAGTCATTGAGGCTAGTTCTGGGCCGCTCCGGAGACAGAAAGCTTTTTCTTCTAAGGGCTTCCCTTGCTGGGTACTTACTATATACACAGCACTATATCAGATGCCTGGCACCAGGACTTCATTTAACTTCACAAGAACCCCCCGAGGAGGTGCTGCTATTATCCACATTCTATCTATGAGAAAACCGAGGCTCCTCCAATGGCTTGCCAAAGGTCACACAGAGCTATTAAATGCAAAAGCTTGGATTCAAGCTCGAGGCTGTCAGACCTCAATGATGACTCTTCATGATGGCCATGGGGAGCCTACTCTGAGCAGGGGGCTGCAGGGTCCAAAATGCCCATAGCAGTGCTCAAGGCCAAGGCGCCACAGTAAATACACTGGGATCATGTTACGGGGACTCCTGTGACGCTCCACTGGGACTTCTGCCCTATAAGGAGTGGTGATGGCTCCCAAGGACCAGACCTTGGGCTCCCTGGGCCCCTGTGAAACCTGGGCAGCCTATTAGCTCCTAAACATCCTGTTCTTCCCAAGGAAGGGCCACATCCCGGACTCCAGAGCCAGGCTTTGTCCCTCCGTCTCCTTCATTGCCTCCTTCTCACTTCCCTCCAGAGTGCCTCTCACCACTGTCCTGCTTAGACCCTTCCAGAAAAATGAGCAAAGCGAGTGGTCCAGCTGGTGAGAAAGAGCACACATCGTGATGTTGAAAATGTACACACAGTTTGTTGTTGTTGTTGTTGCTGTTGAACTCAAGAAAGGGCTTTTATTGTTTTTAACTCACTTCCTGGGAAGTTAACTTTTTAAACACTCTTATGGAGTTTGTTCAGCACTTGTGCTACATTCAAAACCAGCAATGGCGACCAAAACCGTCAGTGATGCAGGAAGCACCCCGTCCAGGCTCACGTGGGCACTGAAGCCAGGCCCACCTCTGAGATCCGCGAGGGCAGGGCCCAGTGGTGCAGGCCCCTGAAACTCCCACCCTCCAGGCCCCAGTGTAGAGGTGCTTAGGGAAACTTGTGGGTCCGTGATTAGTCTCCCATGAACTCTAAAAAAGTGTTCTTAAAAACAGTACCGAATTAGTGGTTGAAGCCCTGGGTTACAATGCCTTGGCGCAAAGGAGCCTAGGAGATACATGGGCCCATTGACAATGGGCCACATTCTGCTCATAGCCTTAAAGACATATAGAAACTATAATACAGATGCATGTGCCAGTGCAAGGCATGCAGGTGCGCTGTGTGCAGCAGATGGGCACGCATGCGCGTGTGTGCGTGGAGGTGCAACACATACCCACAGGGCACAAAGATGAAAGGGACACAGATGCTCCTCTAGACCAGCCTCCCTTTCCTTCTCAGCACCAGCCTTCCTGCAGCAGGAACCCCACACAGGCAACTGAAATCCCGTGTTTGGCCCATGTTTTCAGGGGAAGCATCTGAGTCCTGCTTTATTTTCCTTTGGGGTCCATTCCTTGAGCATTTGGTCAGTAAGTGCCAAGCCAGCCAGGCACGATCCCAGGGAGAAGATCATGTCTGCCCCAGCAATGCCAGGTCCACACACATGCTCCAGCGTACCAGCTCTGAGCAGGCTGAATGTCAACTGTCTTTGGGGTGAAGCAGTGGCAGCAGGCCCACCTCTCTGTGGCCACTTGCCAGCATACACACCCCACCGGGGTCCCACTTCTAGTGCCACCTCTGACCCGGGCAGTTGGTCCTTCACCGTAGGAACGTGAGGGCAGCTTCCAGGGCCGGGTGGGCAGGCCAGTGTCGGGTTGGAGATTGGGTTCCAGTTACTTCAGCATCCACAAGGCCACAGCCCTGTGAGTCTATGGCCTTTGGCCGGCCAACCCCTGGTATCTCTTCTACAGGGGAGCTGCACAGGGAGGGAGAAAAGTGGGCAGGGAAGGTGGGCGCTCCTGGCTCAGGCCTCTGCCGGGAGCTCTCATTTAACCCCTTCTCCAGATGGCGCCAAGTGTGACATAATCAAGGAAGGTCAGTCCAGCCCGCCTGGCCGCCAAATGATGATGAGGGTGCTGGAAACCACTGAAAGCTGGAGGAGAGCTTTCTAGATGCTCCCAAGCAGGCCTTTACACCACCCACTCCTGACATTAAAAACAAAAGTAAAAGACAACAAAAAAGAATCTGAATTCTCCGGTGCTGGCCCCTTCCCCACCGAGGCCCAAGGATACCCACCGAGGGCTCAGAGCCTCCATATCAGTGTTCTCAGTAGACGAGGGCTCTGGCAGGCGCCCCTCTGAGGTGCGCAGGGTACACTCCTCTCTGTGCATGCGGCAACGGAGCCAGGCCTGCCCGGCTCCCAGCGGGTGGTCTCTGCTGGGGGGGGTGGTAGGGGGAGCCAGGCCTCCACCTGCTGCCTGGGTTTCCTACCTACTGCCTTGCCGAGCACCAGCTGGCATCTCTAAGGCACCATAGGTACCTCTCTTTCCCATAGGATGGGTCCCACCAGGGAGAGCCAGGACAAGGAGAAAAGCCTCATGGGAGCCCTTCCCCTCAAGCTCCAGATGACAAACATTCCAATCCCGTCCCTGGACTTGCGCGCTGAGGTCATGCAGCATGATAGAAGGAGGAGGGCCAGAAGAGGGGCCACAGTCCTCAGCCCCCTGCCCGCAGGGGCGGCTGTCGGCATGAGGGCAGTGGGCCTTTGGAGGCGTGGGATGAGCGTGCTGCCGGCGGCCCTGGGCGCATGCAGGGGCTCAGGATGCAGCCTCATCTTCTTGAACGCCGGGGAGCTCCAGGCTCTTGCCCCCTTCGCCACACCTGTCTTTCCTGTTCAGGGGACACCATGGGCAGAGGGACCTCAGGGGTCAGAATGTGCACTCAGGAGACACTCTCACACACACTCACACAGCCATTCCTTTGCACAATTTCTCAAACACATCCCCCCACCCATTTCCCCAAGCTCACGTCAGCCTTGCCCCCCCTGCACTGCGGCCTCTCACCACTCTCCCTACCCCTAGTGTCAGCCCACAACCCTCAGACAGGGCACCCTCCACCATTCGTGTCGCCTGGAGATGAAGTCTAGACTTCCCCACCTGGCCTCCGGAGCTTCTCACAATGTGACCCTGCTGGCTCCCTGCATCCTGGAGTACCAGCCATGTCACAGGCCCTCCATGTCAGCCTAGCTCAGCCCCCATGGTTCTGGGTGGAGGGGCTTTGGTTTTGATTTCTCTTTGCTTTAGTCACAGGGAAGAGTCTACCTAGCAGTCTTGGAATTTGGTCACGTATTGAATAGAGTCCTGTATCTGATTATTCCCCTAAGATCTTTCTCTCTGTGCTAACAGCTCAGAGCCTGGAGCCTGCTTTGGATTCTACATCTGCCTCTCTGCCTCTCTCTCTCTCTTTCTCACTCTCAAAAATAAAAATATTTTAAACATTAAAATGAACATTGTAACATATTAAAAAAACTTTTTTTAAAAAAACAGAGTCTGGGCACCTGGGTGGCTCAGTCAGTTAAGCATCCAACTCTTGATTTCACCTCAGGTCGCGATCTCATAGTTCATGAGTTCGAGCCTCACATCGGGCTCTGCACTGACAGTGTGGAGACTGTTTGGGATTCAATCTCTCCCCTCTCTCTCTGAACCTACCCCACTTGCTCTCTCTCTCTCTCTCTAAAAATAAAAAAACTTAAAAATAAACAAATGAGGGGCTCCTGGGTGGCTTAGTCGGTTAAGCGTCTGACTTTCACTTAGGTCATGATCTCACGGTTCATGGGTTCGAGCCCCGCGTCGGGCTCTGTGGTGACTGCCAGCTCAGAGCCTGGAGCCTATTTCAGAGTCTGTATCTCCCTCTCTCTCTGACCCTCCCCTGCTCACGCTGTCTCTCTCTCTCTCTCTCCTAGAAATAAATAAAAATATTTTTAAAAAATAATAAGCAAATGATAAATACACTTAAAAAATTTTTAAAAACCCAGAATCTGTCAAGGATAAATACTGGGACTCTATGATGAAGTAAAACCTGCCTTTCAAAATGAATTTTGAGTCACAGAATTATAGAATTTTATAGGTGAAAAGGATTAAGCCCAATCCTCTCATAGTCCAAATGAGGAAATGTGTCCGTAAAAGGACAATGATTAATACAACTTGCGCAGCTGTATTCGTGGGTCCCAGTTCTGTGCCAGAAGTAGACTAGAGGTCCTTAGCTTGTGACTGCCTTGTCCCACCCACAAGGGGGCGCTGACTCACAGACACTGAGCTAGAGAAACCAGATGTCTGACTAGGTTTGTTCATTATGGTCGTACTTATTATGCCTTTTGTCCTGCCATAATTAATAACAGATTCCTCTTTCACTCTCAAAAGCGGCTCTGTTTGGATGTTAAATATGTGATCCCCTACACTAAACCCAATTCCAGCATCAAGACCTGCAGACCCCGAGGCACCCAGGGAACCCCCTCTCCTGGACCTGGCCACCTCACTGAAGAGACAGGGAACTGAAAATAAGCTCAGTACTGTCAAGGCCTCTTCAGAGCCCCCACCAACTTCCAGCACCCGGGGATGTTTGTCAGGTGGAGGGCAAGAAGTTGGTATATGGACATTACTGAGTGCAAGCAAGCTCTGACTGGAGCAGACCCCAGCTCACCCGCTATGATGGGACCTGACACTTCTAAGGAGCCCACTTACAAAAGGGTGGCCTCACATGAAACCAGCGTGTGGGCCTGGAGAGGCTGAGGTACCTAGACAACGTCTGACACTCGCCTCTCTAGGGAGCATGCCTTTTCCACACAGTGGGCGGAAGGGGCAGAAGGCGGGGGGAGGGGTGCACAACGTCTCCTCCCTGCAGCATCCTCCACAGGCCAGAGGAAGGCAACCAAGGTCCCAGGGCCACCTTGTGGTCCAGGACCCCTCACGATTTTCTGTCTGCAGGTCTGCACACAAACTCCAGCAGGCCTTGTCAGCATCCCAAACTGACTTTTATTTTAATGGAAGAAGCGTAAAAGCTGAGGACGAGGCTCACAGAGGTTTAGGGAATTGCTTTTCTGACCTGTCCTAGGAGGTGGTGAATGCACATGCCTAATTCACAGTAGGGACCCTTCAGCAAATAGGAAGTTCTCTTCCCGGGCCCTATCAGCCAACCTGTCCATACTCACTTGCTGGACAGGCATTTACAGAGTGATGACTGGGCACATGGCCTCAGCAATGGCTGGAGGTAGTGTGGCCCACTCAGGAAGGCCGCTATGGATCCCCCAGGCCAGGAAGGGTCATAAGTGCCCCTCCTTCCACAGACAGGCAACCTTCCTCAAGGAGCAGACATGAGGCCAGTCTGCAAACCTGTACCAGGCTGACATGGGCTGAGAACAGAGGTGTAAACAGGGCCCTCCTCTGAGATCTGCTGAGTCCCCAGGCTCCAAGCGCAGCCCGCATGGCCCAGTGATAGTGAGAGTCTCGGGGATATGCCACAGCCCCCACCTTACCCAGGGAGCACCTTGCAGGCCTCAGCTGGCCGATACTTACGACAGTAAGCTTCCTGGAGCAGACATAGATCGCTCTTCCCTCCGAGCTTGGGGCTCAAATGGGTTCCCAAAGGAACGCTTTCTCAGCATGGACTTAACCAGGATCTGGGGAGGACACTCATGTCAGAGTGAGGAACACAAAACCCCAGGCTCCCAGCCACACTGGCAGCCCCTCTGATTCCCTAAGGGGACAGCTCCCGGTGGGCCCTGCGGAGGCTCCCTTCTGGTCAGCAGAGAAAGGAAGAGAATTCCAAGCAAAGGAAATGGCAAGAGCACGAGGGGTGATGGTCAAGGGACAATTCTGGGAATGGTGAGGAGCTCGACACAACTGGTGCCTGGGGGACCCAGAGGCCAGGAGCAGTCCAGAAGGGTCTGGAATGGCAGGCTGAAAGCATGGGCTGGATCCTGAGGACGTGGGGAGTACAATCAGGAAAGGCTGTACAGCTAAGGTGGGGAGCATGGAGAGGGGGAGAGGCTGTGCAGGCAGAGCAGAGAGGAAGCTGCACAGCGGTCTGGGGGAGGTGCCTGGACAGGCAGAGGCTGCGGCACCCCAGCTCCCTGTGTCCTTCCTCCTGCAACAAGGACAGTTCTGGGCCGCTGCCTACACACACACAAACTCACAAACACATGCCTCGTTCTTTTATTTCATTCATTCACTCATTCATTCACTCACTCATTCAATCAACAACTATTTATCAAGTACCTAGCACATGCCAGACACTATTTTAGGTGCAGGGTCGACACTGAGGCAAAAATTCTTGCCCTTATGGCGCTTATGTTCTAGTTAGGGGGACAAGCAGTCAATAAGACGAGTCAGTAAAATATGTGAGTTAGTGGTAAGGGCCAAGGAGAAAACAGTAGTAGAACAAGGCAGGAGGACATGGAGAAGGACAAAGAGGAGGTGGGAATTTTTGATAAGGGGCGAAGGAAGGCTCACTTCTAACGGTGACTTTTGAGTAAAGGCTGGAAGGGAGTGAGGAAGCGAGCCTTGCGAGTTCTGGGCAGGAGCATACCCCAGGAGGGAAGAGAAGTGCAAAGGTTCTGGGGCAGCAGTTTATGCGATGCGACCCACGGTTGGAGCTGAGCAAATGGAGGGAGGAGAGGAGAGGCGAGGGGCAGCAGAGAGGTGGGGGCAGAAGGTGGGCAGGCCATGCAGGGTTTTCCGGGACAGTCAAGGCTGTGGCTCCTACTCTGAGTGACACAGGGGCCTAAGTGAGCAGGGTCTGAGATGAAAAGTGACATGATCAGTCACTGGGACCACCCTGGCTGCTGAGTTGAGCACTCACTGTTATGCAGGTAACAGTAGAAGCAGGGGACACCTGGTGAGGCTACTCCAGTGGTCAAGGGGAGAGACAATGGTGGCTAAGACAAAGGAAGTAGCAGTAGAGACCCTCTGGGAGCTGACTGGTTCCAGAGACCACAGAGCCCTGGAGCCCTACAGAGCATAGGAATGAGCGGCACTCGGCCACCTTTCCCTAGCTGGGCCTGGACCAAGCAGGGAGGCTAACGCACACAGGCCTGATCTGATGCCACCCACAGCACAGCAGCAGCGCTCTCTCTGCCTCATGCTTACCCTGACTTGCTGTGATACCTCAGCACAGGGCAGGCCATGGTTCTCAGTGTCCCCAAAACACCCCATGTGGCCATGAGGGGCTACATGAATAACTTCCTACAGTTAACATGGAAGAGGTCCAGAGGAAGATGAGAAAAAGTAAACTGTGAGAGGTGACTGGAGGGAGTATGTGGGTGCGATCCGAAGGGCTCAGGGGCACTTCTCCAATTCAAAAGCTTCCTAGGCCTTCTTACCATCATGTCCTTGACACCTAGTACAGCGCTTAGAAGCAGGGTGGGCAGGGAGGGAGGGAGGAAGGAAGGAAGAAAATATTTCTTCCAGTCACAGTGAATGACACTCGGTCAGGGCAGTATATTTCTTAAATCATTCACTCTCCTCACCAAGCCTCCTGGTCTCCCTACCTTGAGGCCGAAAGCCATGGCCCCTTTCCCCACTGCCCTCCAGCAAGGCCTCAGTAGATCAGCATGGGGGCTGACTGACCAGATGGCCCTCTGTCCCCTGACAGGGCCCAGCAAAGAGCAAGTCTCGGGCAATGGCCATGCCCTCCTCAGGTCGTCCCAGGATAAGAGAGTCTTCTGCCCATCACCCTCTTACCACCGTGGTCCAGCTGGGGATGAGCTTGACCGAGTTCTTCACCTCCTCCTCAGTCACCTCCACCACACTGCAGTGTTCCTCCTCTGAGGGAAGGGGCTCCTCCCCACTCTTGGTCACCCAGGGGTGCAACTGTGGAGATGGGAGGAACATGGAGAGGTCAGACAGACACCCAGTGAGCAAAGAATACCACAGGCCTTCTACCAGCAACCACCTTAAGGGGACCCAAAGCCCATAAACCCCAAATCCAAACCCAATATATGTATGACTTGGTGTAGGGCTCTCTAGAAGGAGACACCGAGGCCTGTCTGCTGCGTCCAAGACCAGCACAGCCCAAGACCTCGGGTTCCCCAACCTTGATGTCTGGCACCCCAATCCTTGTTTCAGGATTCTTGTCTAGCATCTTCAGGATCAGGTCCTTGAGCTCCTCGCTGACCTTTGGCCTAAGAGTGGGGAAGGAAGGAGATGGGGGAGAGATAGTTAGTGAGGACTCGTTCCTGCCCACCTCTCCATCCCCACCTGCGCTGGGATTCCCTGAGTAGTACATGCCAGGGCAGAGGCACACCCAGCCCTCACTTCTCAGAGAGCAGGAAGGACATTCCAAGGTATCGAGGCAGAAGGAGAGAGTTTCAGAACAAGTAGATGGACATCCATCTTTCCTAAACAGAAGTAAAGCCATCTCCTCTAGAGGCAGGGGCCACAAATACAAATGGGGTCAGGGGTACCAGACACCCTCTCATGGCAGAGACAGTGAGGATGATGTGAGAAGAGTCATTTTATGGGACACCATGGGCCTTCACCCTGCTCACCATTTTATCCTCTCCTCTGCCTGGGAAGTAGCCAGGAAATAGTCTCATTTGACAGAGGAGGAAACTGAGGCCCAGAGAGGTTAGCTGGTTGGCACATTGCTACCGAGAAGAGTGAAGGCAGGGATGAGAGACTGAAGGGAAGGGAGAGCAGGACTCTCAGCCCCACATTAGCCTGGGCTGTTTCTGCCCAAACCCCAGGCTTCTTTGCTACCAACATTTTTGGAGAGCCCATCCTTCCAAACCTGAAGAGAAGGAACTCTCTCTTGGGACTGTTGACCTTGGTTCCCTCTGCTGTCCTAGATACTTAATCCCTTTTCGAACTCCTGGGATGGGAAGAAAGAGACCTCTGGCAGGGGGTACAGCAGGCAGAATGGTACAGAGACAGGCAAAAAGGGGCGGAATCTAGTTGGCTAGTGCTGTGGGGGAAGAGGTAGCAGGACCCAGACGCCCTGGAATGCCAGGGTCAGGGAATGGCCTCTTCATGTGGGCTTTTGGGAATCCTTGGAAAAACTTTAAGCAGGAGATATGGTGAGATTTGTTGTGCTTCATCGGGGTCACCCAGGCCTGGCTGGCAGCTGGACTGGAGGGAGGCTGGCAGCAGGGAGACCAAAGAGAAGGCTAGACAAATCCAAGGACAGAACCAGTCAGGGGTGCAGGCGGCAATGGCATCAAGAGATATAGAAGAGGTGGACTCAAAAGGGCTCAGGGCCCAGACAGGGAGTGGGCACAAAGGAGCAGGAATCGTTGAGGACAATGCCCAGGTTGGTTTCTGACCTGCCCAGGGCACTTTGATAAGATGGCAGAAGGGCCTGAAAAATAAGGAGCCATGGTAGCCAATATCATAATCAGAAGAACCACAGATTAGCAAGGAAACCTCTCCAAATAGTCCCTCTAGGCTCGGAGACCCCAGTTACAAATGAAGGGATGGGGAGGAGGGAGTGGCTTCAAATTCCAGACCCACTGATAACTCTCCTCTGGAGCCTCCACTTTTCCATCTATAAAATGGGGAAGCAAACTGGTATCTTGAAGCCCTCCTACCCCACGTGGGGAAGGCAGAGGTTCCTCATGATTCCAGAGTCTGTGTAATGTTGATACCATTGACCCCAGAGAGGCTTTTAGTGAAGGAGCAGTGTGAATGTGTGACCTGGGGTCATTCTTGCCCAACTCCCCACCTCGCAGTTCCATCTGTATCATGGGATCCAACTAGATGTCTCTGAGACCTTGCTCTATAGTTCCACCCTTCCATCCGCTCAGGGGCCCCTCCCAGGAAACAGCACCCCCACCTCCAGATCTGCAAGCTGGGGTGGGGCCTTCAAAAGGCAAATGCTCTGCTGTAACTCAGGAATGTCTCCCTGGGGGTGGGCAGGGCAGGAGTGGGTTTCAGGGGCAACTCACTCCTCAGGAAACACCACGGCCTCATTCTTGATCTTCCTATGCAGGGCCAGGATGTAATCATCGATGAACGGGCACTGTGGGGTAGAGAAGCAGACAAAGGATGCAGGCCCAGAGCCTCAATTTGCCTTGGGGGACTGACTGCATTTTTTGGCATGGCCAGGAGTGGGGGGCAGCTCTGGGCTCCTTAGTAGAAGAGAACCCTGTCTAAGTCGTTCAGGGCCTGGCACACAGTCGGTGCTCAACAAACACTAACTGAACAAATGAGTCACTGAGGGAACTATGAAGCTGGGTGCACCCACTGGCCGTATAGCCGCCTGCAGAAAGGCCTCCACTCCCAGGGCCTAGAGTTTGCGAACATGTTCACTGAGATTCCCGCCAGGCTCTCAGTGAAGTCACTAGAGTGGGAGCACCTATGGACAGGGATTTTGGCCAAGTCAGTGTTGAGTGTTCCCAAGGCTCAGCCCAACCCAGAGCAAGAGTCAAGGACAATTTGCAGAATGAATGAAGGAATGAGTGAATGTATGAATGAACAAAAGAATGAATGGCATCAGGGCCAGGACAGGGAGCACTATGGCGGGAAGGTGCCAATACCACCATCTACAGCTCCCATTCGGATGTCTGCTGTCCTGGACTCCTTCATATGAGTCTCCTCCCAAGGGTCAGGACAAAACAGAAAAAAAAAACCTTTCCCTCCGTCTTCTCTGAGTCAGGTGGGCCCTTTCAAAAGTCACTTTACTTTAGGACACAAAAAAGAATGACAGCCTGCAGCTGTCCTTCATCCTGGTTCAGCTAGGCCCAGCCCATGGTGCCAAGGGGCTGGGCCTGCCCAGCTCTGCCAGCCCATCCAACACTCACCTTGCCATAGACAAAGCAGTACAAAGTGACCCCAGTGGCCCACACGTCCAAGGCCTAGGAGGAAACAGCTCACATCAGTCCCCCAAGAAGAACCAACACCCCTCGCTCACCTAGCTCCTGTGGGCTATGGGAGAGGGCATGCTGGAGACCTCCTTCATCAGTCATATAGTCACTCAACAAACACTCCCAGACACTTGTTCCATGCCTGACCCTGGGCTGCACACTAGGGACACAGGGATGACAAGAACAAGGCCCCTGTCTCTCAGGGTTTCCATGCCCCCTTGTGAGAGACCCAAACCAAATACATTTTCAACTCAAAAGGTGCAAAGTTTCCTTCACCTACAGGGTCACATTTGCTGTACGCATGATATAAATGCACCCCAGAAACCATGCTATGTATTGAGCTTATACTCACTAAACTAGCTTGTCATCCCTTTTCCTTGGGAATATTCCATTGGAGAATCAACCATCCACCTTCTTTCACACCAGAAATAGCCCCTGTCCACAGCAAGGCCCCGGCCTTCAGCCACCTCCACCGCTCCTCACGGCTCCCCCATATCCTGGGTTCTAACGTGTGCTCTATGTTTTCCTCCTCTGGAACCCCACTTCTCCTGGTCTACACTTTCTCTCCTATGTGAATGATTCTCAAATGTCTATCTACATATTCCTGCCACAGATGACTCAATCTGAATCCAACCAGGGAACACCAGACAAACGCAAACTGACGTCAGTCTACAAAGTAACAGGACTGTTCTCTTCAAAAATGGCAAGGTCAGAATAGATAAAGAAAGGCTGAGGAACTCTTCCGGATTAAGGGACCCCAAAGACATGTGACAAGGAAATGCAGCAACTAACCTTGCATCAAATCTTAGACCAGAAAAAAAAAAAAAAGGCATTAAAGGACAGTATCCAGAGAACTGATGAAATCTGAATAAGGTCGATTAGATAATAGTCTTTTATCAGTGATAAATTTCCCAATTTTGATGACTGTAGTGAGGTTATGTAAGAGAATGTCCTTATTCTTAGAAAATATCTGCCAAAGTATATCTGCCAAAGGAGGATAATGTCTCCATCTTAACTCTCATATAGTTCAGAAAAATGTAATACGAATCACATAAATATAGGGAGAGATGGTAAAAGGGTAAATGGAATAAAATGTCAATAATTGGTGAACATGGGTAAAAAGATACATGGGAATTTTTTTTCTATTACTGTTGTAAAGTTTTGTAAATTTGAAATTTGAGATTACATCCAAATTAGAAATTCTTCAAAAAAAAAAGGCTCTGTCTACATCCCTGACCTCTCTTGGGCTCCACACCCACACACATGTCCAAATGCCTCCTGCCCATTGGCTCCTTGGGGACAGTGAGGCAGCCAGCATGCCACAGTGGGGGACAGCACTCCACAGGTGGGAACAGCCGGAACTGCAGCCCTCTGCTCAGAAAGCTTTGCCCACTGCCTCTGTCGGTTAGGAGGAAGCACAAACCTCTGGGCCTTCTCAACCCTGCCCAAGACCCATCCTGCCCCCTTCCCAGTGCCCCTCAGTGCTCTTGTACATTCTCTGGTCTCCATCTCATGCTCAAATCACCCCCTTCTTCAAGGCCTAGTTCAAACCCTGCCATCTCCAAAAATTCTGGGGGGAGCCTCCAACATCTTCCCAAACATGAGCCCTCCTGCTCTTTTCTTTTCCAGAAGGACCGAGAGCTGGGCTGCCTGGTCTCTGTCTGTTCCACAGCCTAGCCCAGCACTCTGCACAGAGATGCTGGCAGGAAATATCTGCAGTGGAGACTGGGGGCCATCTTGCTGGAAAATGACAGGAGGCCAAAGTTGGGGAGTTTCTCAGACTTCAGGAGGCAAACAGGAAGGAAAGGACTGTGTTCAGTGTTCACTGCAGGAACATAAGGACCCTGACCCCCTCAGGCTAGAAACGAGGCTCCACTGCAAACCATTCCACCCCTCCACCTGAATGCCAACTCAGCCTAGGTCCTAGAAGCCACCTTCCCACTGAAGCTCTGGCCGGAATCAGAAATGGCTTCGGGGGCCATGAATGCTGGAGTCCCAGCAGTGCTGGACAGCTGAGCGTCGTTCCCCTCAAACTGGTTGCTGACGCCAAAGTCGGCAATTTTCACATGCCCATCATCGCCCAGGAGCAGGTTGGACGGCTTGATGTCCCGGTGGACGATCTTCTGGCAGTGCACTGCAGAAAGAGGCAGCTTGAGTGCTGGCCGGAGGGGGGGGCACTGCCTGGAACCCCCCCCCAACTCCCCTCACCTGGCCAGGGAAGCCCATCTTTAACTCTAGGCAAGGAGCGGGGCTATCCCAGCCCACACACACACTCATCTCATGCGGACCTTGGAAGAATTCAGGGCCCTCTGCTCCACTCTGTGGTAGAGACACCAAGGCCAGCCCAGGCTGTGAAAAGCAGAGCCAGGACGGGACTCAGGAGTCTTATGGACCCCAAGTGCAATACTCTCTGGGGCAATCAAGATACCTGTTGCTGAAGGGGGGCATCAGAGGAAATCTGGAAGGGAACCTCTCCAGAGGCTATCTCTGGCCCTCCCCATGTTGTCTGCAGTCCCAAAGCCTGTCAAAACCTCTTCTCAGTCTCTTCTCCCACCCAGCCAGGTCAGACATGTTCCTCCTCCTTGGACTGAGAGTGGAATAGTGGGGTATCCTGCAGGAGTACTGCCTCAGGCTTAGGGATTCTTGGCTGAAGGGCATCAGAGAGAGAGGGCATCCGAGGCCTTGGGACTGCTGGGATGAACACGGCCAGGGTAAGGGTCAGCCTTCAGTGGGCTGAGAGCTCACCTTGCCTCCTGGGTTCAGCAATGCCAGGAAAAATGGGCAGCTCAGGCTGAGACGGCCAGAGATGTCCCAGAGTAGAGAAGGCACTGACTCTACCCCACAGTCACCCACTTACAGGCTCCACCTCAGCAAATACTTTCCTCTGGATCAACAGACCCCAAGAAGTTGAAGACAAGGGAAGATGGAAAGGGTAGGAGGAAGGAAGAGAGGAGAGGAGGAAAGGAAGGCTAAGGGCAAAGGGAGTGAATGTCACACAACAATAACAGACAAACCAATGTTCCTATAGTGACTGCCTCTTACGTGCCTGATGCACACAAGGGATTTGACACATACCCATCAGAGTGCAGAGGCTCAAGGGACTGTGTATGTGACCATGGAAAGTGGTCTCAAATTCTTATCTTGAACCCTGGCCTCTCCCCTTAACTCCAGACTATTTATCTACATGGATATCCAATAAACATCTCAATGTATTTCTCAAAATTTCTCAATAACACATCTAATTCAGAACTTGATTTCTCTGTTTGCAACCCCCTCCACACCCCTCACCAAACCAACAAAACAGAAGACCTCTGCTCCTCTTCTACTCTTTCCTATTGGGTTAATGGCACATTACCAGTTGCTGAGGCCAAAAAGCTTAGGATCATCCCCAACTCTTCTCTTTCAGACATCACATCCTATTCAATCAACAAGTCCTATGTGCTCAAATTCTAAGATATATTCCAGCTCTGACCGCTTCTCATACCTGCATTGCTACACTTGCTCCATCTACAAGAATCAGGTCTGGGCTCCATGACCATGGAGCCTTCCCCAGGCAGCCTTGACCCTCCTGGCTGAGGACCAGAATGACAAGGAAAGTCTTCAGCACCTGATGTCTCCATTCATCTGCCTGTCCAGCCTGTGGTTCTGACCAATGGGCTCTGGGAAGTCCTTCACTGTAATTAGCTGGGTCTTGACAAGACTTTACTCCAGAGCCAGATGGAATTAGCTTGTGGGGGGGGCGGGGGGACAGAGGATGTGAGACAATAGGCCCTGAGCTGAAAAGAAAGGCCTAGGACAGGAAAGGGTGGAAGCCAACCTGGTACAGGGTTGTGCCCGCCACTTATCACACCCAAGGTGAAATGACTGCTTCCATAACTCTAAACCCTTGATAGAGACTTTCTGCAAAGCCCTCCTCTCCGTGTGCCTCAGTTTCCCATATGTACAAACAGAATATTAGTTAGAGGGCAGTGGAGAGGCGTAAATGAGATAAAGACAATCCTGGTTCCTGACACCTCAGATAGGTCCTCACCCTGTTCCCCTAGGAAGAGAATATGCTCCTGATAAATCAAGTTAAGATTTGAGAGAGATGGGCACCATTCTTGTTCCCCAAACCAGGCCAGAAGCCTCGGTGTGAGGACCCTCCCCTCCCCACGACCAGTCAGTCATCATGTGCTGCCCCCCCTCCATTCTCCTCCCCACTGCCACTGCCCTAATCCAGGCCTCACCATCTGTTACTTGGGCTGTGGAAAAAGCCTCCTTGCTAACCAGCTGGCCACTTCTTGCCCTTCATTCAGCCACCACACAGCTGCTGAGCTTTCTAAGATGTAAATCCTATCATGCCCCTCCCTTCTCAAAGCCCTCAGAGGTTTACGATGCCGATGCCGACAGGATGAAGTCATGAAAGTCCTCCATGGAAGTATTCCCTGCCCTCCTGGCAAGGCCCGAATAGCTTTCCAGCTTTGTGTTTCACCACCTTCCTCCCATGCTTCAACCAGATCTGACCTCTCCCCATTCTTAAATAGGACATGGCCACGCGCCTCTGGGCCTCTGCTACACAGTTCTCTCTGCTTGCCACACTCTCTCCCATCCATCCCTCGAGCCTGGCCAATGAACTCCTACTTATCCTTCAAGACCTTGGTCACAAATGGCCTCCCCTGGGAAGCCTCCCTTCAGCCTCTGACAGCCTCTGCCTCCCGCGCCTTAGCCGGCACTGCACTGTATCTGCCTACTTAGGTTCCTTTTCCTCCTGCTACACGGATATCTTTGAGGTCACATCTGGGTCTTTGTCAATCTCCTGGCGTCTAGCTGGGGCTTAGTTGGTACTCATATATGAAAGAAGAGGAAAAAAAAGAAGTGAATGAATGAGTAAACAGGTGAATTCCGGAGACAGAGGCCAAGCTAACATCCTCCCTCCCGAGCTCTCATCACCGTAGGGCCCCCACAGTAAACCCACCCTTCCTCACCCACAGGACCCATGACACGACAGATTATTCCTCAAGCAGCTGGACATAAATCTCTTCCCTCCTACATCTCTTGACACCCTGTGGGAAGGTTAAGCTTGACTAATAACTCAGCAGAAGAGACCCAGAGAACACCCAAAGCGCAGCCCCACTTGAACAACCTGGTGCAAACCCAGCGAAGACTGCCACCACTCCCTCCCCTTTCCCCATCCGGGAGGCTCTGGCCACGCCCACAGCCCACACCACGCCCCCAAACGAAGCTGATTGGGAGATCAGCGCTGACTGATAGGAACTGCTAAGAGCTAGCTCAGCCGGGCCTCCACCCCTTCCGGTGTCCCCCTCCCCAGTCCACCGTTCCAGGAGGCAAGCCGACCCTCGCTCACAATACTCAAGGCCCAAGATGATGTCCCGCAAGTAGAGGCGAGCTTGCTCTTCGGGGAAGGGCTTGTCGCTGGGCACCTCCATGACCGGCCTACAGAAAGGGAGGGGAGGAGGGGCGTTCAGCTGAATCATAATGAGTAAAAGCAGACTGCTGGTAAGGGAGACAGGGTCTGGGCCATTTACGCCCCTCAGGACTTCCCGGGCGCCCTCTATGCTCAAACACCTCACAACCCAAGACATTAGCTTTCTTCCCATATAATGGAACATTTAAAACACCTACACACAAACATCCCTTTACAATCATTATAATTTCAAATTTGCTTTATCTTAATTTCTGATTGGCTTGGTATTTTCTACTAAGTACTTCTCCATAACCAAACTGTTGCAAAGATACCATTTACAGCAGTGTTTTTCAAACCGTAGGTCCGAACCTAATAGAGGGTCATGAAAAAAACTGAGTGGTTGGCTAATGCTTTTTTTTTCCCTAATATAGTAGAATTTATCAGAGTACATCAAATGTCATAAAGATATGCAATGTTTTGTAAAACTTTGGTCTCAGTTAAAGAGATGGATGACAATGGAAAACTTGTATTTCTTACTTTGAATGAAAGTCAGAAACGTTTGAAAGGCTCTGAGTCTTAAAGGGACACTACTCTCAGTCCCCTACTCCCCACAGAGGCAATCACAAGCCATACCGTGTATTTAAGGTCTTGACAGTTAGGGACTACGGTCCACCCAGGCCTATACTAACTACCCCAAGTCTGCTGCTTTGCTAATACTGTGAGAAGGCCAAATAGGGCAGACATGAATTAGACTTACTGTGTGACCTTGGGCAAGCCACTGACCCACTCTGAACCTCAGCTTCCCCTCTTGTAAACGGGAGCAAATGGAGTTTACAGAAACTTGTAAAGCTGAAAGAACTCTTTGTGATTTGAATCCAGGTGAGAGCCCCATCTCTACATATATGCTTGAGAAACACTCCTTTCTTCTCCCACTCCTCCCTCAAAATCTTTCCAGTTCTTCAAGACCTGGCTCAAAACCCACCCCCTCTTCCAGAGAACTCTCTGAATATTCCAGGCTCACTGACCTCCACCAGACTTCAAAGAATTGCCCTATTTGTCTCTCATTTCCCCCCCTGGGACTAAGGGCACAGGGAGGGAAAAGAAGGCCTGGATTAGACCTGACCTGCCTGATTGGGATGGGGAACTCACCCCTTTCTCAGGAGGTCAAACACTGAAAGAAAAGAGAAGAAAGGTAAGTAAGATGCAGCCAGGCTTGCAAAGCAGGTGATGCCAAGGTCCCTCCCTGTCCTGGAAGGTAGGAGAGGGTCCGGCATTCAGGCATACTTGAGGGATGGATGGGACAAGGGTCCCAGGGTATCAGAGGAAATAATAACAGGTGAAAGTAGGTCTACTATGGATCCGCCTCATCCTGATTCACCATGGATTCCCTTCTGGGGAAGGAGGTGGATAACTGAGGCTTGCAGAAGGGGCAGGAATCTCCCTGCAGGTCATAGCAGATAGGCAAGTAGGACAAGGAGTGAAGACTAAAGCCTTGGCCTTGATTTCTAAGCCAGTGTGTTTTCTGTCCCGTTTCTGGAGGGCCTCTAAACCCAGCCATGAATCAGGCACTGTGAACTTAAATAATAACAACATTCATAACAATCTTCTATATAATGACTCATTTACTCCTCATATCAACCCTGTGAGTTAGATATATTATCCCCCATGTTACAGGTGAGGAAACTGAGGCACAGAGCTATCAGACAGGGTCTGGGAACCCACATCACATAGCCTGCTTCCTGCATGTACCTGATCCACTGTCTCTGATCAGTGGAGTGGGGGCTTGGGAATATTTATTGATCTAACTGGGTACTCTAAGTTTGGATTGGCAGGGCTGGGCAAGGGAATCCAGGGCTTGAGAACATGTTCATACGGACCATCTGAAGGTCATATGTGCCCCTGGGGAGCCTTTGGGCTTACATCAGGTAAGCTGCTTTGGGGAGAGTTGGGTCACTCACCTAAATAGAGATTGTCCTCAGCTGGGTCATCCAAAACCTAGTCAGAGGGAAGAGACGTGGTGGTAGGGTTTGAGGACCCCCAGTATGCTCTGCAGCCCTCCCCCAAGACAATAGAGCAGGAACTGTGCAGGCCCCAGACAGAGGAGGCCTCAAAAATCACTGACCCCCAACCCTGGCCCACCAAGTAACATCCAGCTCTTCTCTCCTCCTGCCATGACTGGGGGCTCACTTCTTGCTTCTGAGCAGCCCCTTACCCTCACTGAGACCTTGAGAATATTGCAAACCAGCCCGAGTGACCCCTAGAGCCTCCCTATAGCTGCCACCCCAAGTCTAGCTCTATCTTTGGAGGCCTTAGCCCCAGCTACTGCTTTGGTGGGAACCCCAGGTCTGTGCTGAGTGTCCCCAAGCACTGCAAGATGCTCCCCACGACTTGAGTTCCCACCCACTCACCACTGCCTCCTACCTCAATCAGCTTGACCACATTCACATGGTCCAGCTTCTTCAGGATGGCAATCTCCTGGTACACTCGCTCCAGAGGCAGCAGCTGCTTGGCTGGTCCTCCTTGGGTAGCCTGGGAGCCCCTTGGGGGAGGACGACCTGTGACCAGGAAGGGGAGTCGAGCCCGGGTTGCGGGAGGCTGGGCCTCACCTTGGCCCTGCAACCAGTCTCAAGCAAGAATCCTGCAATGGTCTTGTCCCCAACCCACTAAACACATCCCTACCACCAGGCCTTTGCTTACGCTCTCTCCACCTTTACCCCCCCTCCCCATCCTAACAAGAAATAGCTAGGGACCAAGGTCTCCTCCTCCTCTGCCCCCAAGCAAGGAGCTCCCAAGCATAGTACCCAATAGATACATACGTGGAAAGCCATACTGCTTCAGTAACTTCTTTTTGGAAAGAACTTTCATTGCCTGAGAAGGGAGGGGCAGAAATGTCACTTGTGTGCAGCCACCAGGAGCTAGAACATGCTGGTTATATGTGGATGGAGGTCCAGTCACCAGTGGGTGACTGCCCCCAGAGCTGAAGGTATGGCCTAGGTGTGGTTAAGCTGGGTGAGGAGGTGGCCATATCTGAGTCTAGGCGTAATTACCCTATTTCCTCAACAAACCTTTCTGGAGCTCTCCTTTCAGAGAGTCCAGCCTCTGCTTGCATATTCTCAAGAAGCTTACTCCTTTTACATTCCCTCAGGGACAGGAGCTGACTCCCTCTAGAGGCAGCCTCGTCCTCTGTCTTCCCAGCACAGCCACTGCCCACCTCCCAGGCTGCTGGGGCCCGGCTGGGGCAATGCCTCCCTCCCATCCCCAGACTCACATAGTGCCTGTCTTCACTTTCGTTGTAGGCCAGTCTCACCACACCGTAGGCACCCTGGAAATAGGCACCGGTCAGCCCTGCCTGGACAGGGCGCCCTCCTCCAGGACTAGCTCAGGGAATGGGGAGTCTGAACAGCTCCGGCTCCCTCCCCCCTCGCCCCATCTCCACCCCCACCACCAGCTGGTCGCCAAGGGGCATACATTTCAGGCAGACAGGAGGAGGGCTCCTGTGTCCTGGTAACTGCCTCTGCCTGGCTCAATGCAGCTCTATGCTCCCTCAGACTCTCTTGGTCTTCCATCAAAAACTAAGGAATCAGGAATGGAGAATCATTTCCCACCCCTCCCTGGCTATTTCCTAGAGGACAAAACTGTCTTCACTTCTAAGCTGGGGCCTTCCCGGCTCTGCCTTACATTCCCAGGGGAGCAAGACCTGCCAAGCAGGGGATCCTGACAGGCTGCCTACCCAAAGGCTTAAGGGAGAAGTCCCCACTGCCTATCCCAATCCTACCTTGCCAATCTCACTCTGTAGCTTGTATTGGTTCAGCTGCACACAGTCCTGGCAGGGAGGGAGGGGAAAGGGAAGCATCGGGTGAAGCTTGATCCAGAGGCAGTATTGATCCCACCTCAGGATCCTGTTCAGGGTCCAATCCTGGCTCTGGGCCCCTCACTCCCAGACCCCCCATCTCATCAACCTTTCACATTTGGATGGGGAAACTTGGTGGTATCTTTGCCACGAAAAATGACAAGAGGCCTTGCCAACTCATGTTTGCAAACATGAATGGTGAGCCATGGCTGTACTTTACTCCCTAGGAAGTAGTGAAGGAAAAATACACTGATTCCTGCCTGGATGCTGGGCTCTGGGAGACCTAAGTCTGTGAGAAACACATGAGCAAGTATTTCTACAAGCAGCTAAATGCAAGGTCTTGGCTGCATGGACAAGAAAGATGAGGAGAGCCTTGGCGACAGGAGACCACGGCCCTGGCGCAGGCACAAGAAGCTCAGCCTCTGCAATCGCTAGGTTGTTCGGTACTAGGGTTCACGGTCAGATCTAATTGGAAAGGACAGAGCCAGTGGGATAGAGGGGCAGAAGTAAAACAGAGGCTGGAAGCATGCCGGCAGCTTCTGAGTCAGAGGAGACTAAGAAGCAGGATTAGAAGTGGGGGGCTAAAGCTAGGTTTGACTTTTGGTGGGGAGGGTGGACATACTATCTGTCTTCAAAGCTCTAAGAGAACTTCTTGGGGGACAAGGGAAGGGCCTATTTCTGAGGCCTGGCCTAGGGATAGGAATGCTGGGACTTAACAGCGATTGGCTCAGAAGGAGCTCCCCTGGTGGGAAGGGCCATATTGTGAGGTAGCAAGCTCCTCGACTCTGGGGGTATGCAAAGCAAGGGCTCAACAGCTGTACGGCAGGGACACAAAAAGAAAAAATCTTCATTTAGGACTACTAAAAAGCTTGTGAGCACCCCCTAGCTCTGCCCCACGAACCTCTGCATCTGAGATGGCCACATGGTGGGACTCAATGGTGGGCCTCCGCCACACCCGTGGGGAGATGTGGCTGGCAGGCCCTGTGGCATAAGGCCCAGCCTGGGCCTCCAGGCAGCTTCCTGCCGGCCTCTCTTGCAGGGAGAACTTCCTGGCTGAAAGGCTGGGCCGGGCTAGGGGAGGTCTTGAAGCACCACCGGGGATCACAGAGGCAGCTCTGGTCCTTGGCGGAGGGTCCACACCATTCCTGGCAGCCTCTGAACCACCCCCTGCCTCCTCCAAGTGGGCCACATCAATGGCTGCCACTCGCTCCACCAACTCTGCCCGAGGGTCCTGGCAGCAGACTGCTGGGCCCCCTTCCATTGCCACAGTTAAGGGGGTCCTCTGTGCAGCCTTATTGGGAACCTGAAAAAGAGGACAGAGAAGGCTTCAATTCTGAGCATGGAGTAAGGAGGTCAGATTTCCAGGCCCTTGGGTCCCACCTTCATGACTTTGCCCTACCTGTTCCCTCTGCCCGAGTTGCCAGCATCTGAAGTCAGGTCTGCCCCTACTAACTGAAGGAATTCCAGGATCTCATCTGGCTCTGCTGCATGGCAGCCCTCTAGACATCAGTATCCCCATCTGTGAAATAGGCATAGTCACATCTGTCTTGCTGGCGTCACAGGGGAGCAGGGAGAAGCTGAGGCTCTTGACTTAGTCCAGACTGACATGGGCAGAATACCGGAGGCCCAGCAGCAATGGGAGAAACAGAGTCCAGGGTCAGCTCAGGCCCCTTCCAGCAGACAGCCCAGTGACTCACCAGCCCCACCCTGGACTGCAGAGCATTCCAATCCTGCTGCCGGGAAGCTGAGCTGGGCACTGCGAATGCAGAGGCCTCCCAAGCCAGTCACTTACCCTTCAGGAAGGCCTCTCCAGGACCACAGAGTGAGTTTCCCATCCCCCATTACTCTTTTCCCTATCTCAACAGAGCCTGAAACCTAGAAAACGGTCCTTTAGGGGAAGGGCTGCTGCTTTGGTGGCTGTCGAAAGAATTCACTAAACTAAAAGGTCACTCCTGGGGCACCTGGGTGGCTCTGTTGGTTAAGTGGCCGACTTTGGCTCAAGTCATGATCTCACAGTTCATGAGTTTAAGCCCCACATGGGGCATGGGGCTCTGTGCTAACAGTGAGGAGCCTACTTGGGATTCTCTCTCTCTCTCTCTCTCTCTCTCTCTCTCTCTCTCTCTCTCTCTGTGTGTGTGTGTGTGTATGTGTGTGTGTCCGTCCCTCCCTCCCTTGCTCATGGGCATACGCTCTCTTTCTCTCTCTCAAAAATAAATATTTAAAAGGCCACTCCTTATTTTTCCTGGTTTTCCCTTCCAGTTTATTTATGTGCCCAAAATATTTGTCACAGTTGCTCAGACTGAGATGTTCTCCATGGTCTGACCTTACACCCACCCTGACCCCACTACATTCTTAGCCCCAAACCAGGCTGCAGGCCAAGGGCTGACCCCAAGTTGAACCCAAAACCAACCTCTAATCCAGCCCTCACCTTCAACCACAACCCAGGGCTGAACCCTGACCCCAGGCCAAACACTGACCCTCAGACTGGGACTCCATCCCTGATACGCTCTAGGCTGAGTACTGGCCCCACCCCAGCCCAGTGCCCTTCACCCTTCCTGGGCCGGACTCAGCAACTTCTCAGGAAAAGGAAGTGAGTGGACTCCTGACCCTATGCCCTTCCTGTTTGTGGGTAAATTCCTCTGTACCCACACAGTAACTTTAAGAACATAAGTCACCCCTTGTTCCCCCATCACCTTGGTTTGAGAGATGTTAAGGAGCTAGGGCTCACCGGAGCCCACTGGCCACAGAGGATCCTGGGCTGGGTTCTTTTTTTTTTTTACATAGCGGTTTATTTTTTTAAATTTTTTTAATTTTTTTTTTTTAGTTTTTTTTTTCTTAAATACTTAATTGTCAAGTTGGTTTCCATATGGCACCCAGTGGCTGGGCTGGGTTCTAATCCTGCCTGTCGGCCTACTGTAGGGCCCTGAGCAGGCTCCTTCCTGAGTCTGGGCCTCAGTCTCTCCATCTGTACCATGGATACAGAGTCTTCCTAGATTCCGTAGGGCCAATGCAAGGCTTAGAGATGGACTGTGGGCAAAGGTGTCATCCAGAAGCCCTGTGCTTGGTACAGTGTGTTGAAAGAGTGGAAACCCAGGGGTGGCAGAGTTGATGTTGACATGCAGAAGGGAAGGGGGTAGGGAATCCAAACTGGCAATAGGAAAAGACATGAAGGCTGGACCTAGAGGAATGAGGGAGCAGTTGGTGAGCCCAGAGTATCAAGGATGCCTCCCTGGAGAAAGTAAGAGAATGAGTGGGACTGGAACATCAGGGAGACTTCCCTGGAGGAGGTGAGGGAGGCCTCTTTAAAGGAGGTGAGGAAGGTGAGCAGGGATGAAGCATCAAGGGGTCCTCCCTGGAAGAGATGAGAGGGACAGTGTATGCGACTGAAGTATCAGGGAGGCTTCAGGAACCAGGCCACTTGCAGGAAGGAGGAAGCCAAGGGTGAAGGGAGCCCTCCAAGCCTGGCTAGCCTAGCCCACTCCTCCGTGTAGATGGACCACTCTGTGGCCTGTCACCCTCACCCTGTAGGCCTCTTTCCTCCTACTAGAATATAAAGTCCATAGATGATTGCTCTTGTCTGCCTTGTCTCCATGAGATCATCAGTATCTGCAGCAGTGCCTGGCACATAGTAGCTCAATAAATTTATGTTGAATGAATGAGTGGTACCCATAGGGATCATTATAGTGCTGCTCCCGATCGACATGGGAAAGCAGACTCAGAAAGGGGACCCCAACAAGCCTGGGGCCCCAGTCTGTGGTAGGGAATGAATCAATGTCAGGAGCTCCAACTCTAGGTCTGCAGCCCGCAGGTGGGCGGAGGCCACAGGTGGCCTGGCCCATAAAATTTGCATATGATTTCCCTGAGGCTGTTATCACAGCAGGAAGCCATCTTCCTCTAATTCCCTTCCTTTTCTTTTCTCCTTTGGAAAGTAAGACCCAGCAAGGGCCAGGGAAGGGCTCACATCGTGAGCCACGGCAGATGTCTTTCTGCTCCACCCTGGGGCCCTATAGCTGGTTAAGAGTCCAGGCTCTGAAGTCGGGCTGCAGGCTCCATCTCTTCCTGGTGCGGGTCCATGGGCAGGTGACCTCACCTCTGTGCCCCAATTTTCCTCATCTACAGAATGGGGTAATAGCCGTCTCACCTCCCCGGGTAGTTGTGAGGCATAAAGGTGTGAATCCTGCCCACACCGGTCTCAGAACTGAGCCTGTCAGTGCGGAAGCTCTGTAAAAGTGAGTTGTTGTGCTGCTGTTGTTGTGATTGCCTAGGACACGCTGTGGCCCAGATGGATGTGCAGGCGGCACAAGGCGGCTATGAGGGCTGACGTCAGGCCCTCCACCCTCCCTCCTGCCTGGATCAAATTCAGGTGACTAAGCATGTCTGCGCAGGAGGCACTGGGGAGGCCCCAAGTTCCAGCCTCATGTCCAGGCAGCAGCGCCTGCCACCTGAGGCTATGCATCTGAGGGCCTGTGTCCACACGTGAAAGAATGTGTCGCCACATGAGAGAGACCGTGTATTCAAGCAGGGATGTGGGCTGGGGTCATGTTTGGGGAGTTGGGTAGGGAGTCCACACATAGAAGTGCATCTGCATGGAGACAGAACTCCAGCAGTGGGGTCTACACAGGCATATAAATGTGTTAATGTGCACTGGGTGCCTATAGGTCCAGAACAGGGGCGGGGGGGGGGGGGGGGGGGAGCTGCATGAGGACCATGGGAACCTGATCTCAGAAGGTCAAGTCTGAACTCTCCATATGGTCACCTGTCCACCAAGCTGGGCTGTGTGTCCTGGGCAGGTGCCACCCCTCTCCAAGGGGCCACTGAAAGGGTCTCTCAAGTCCCTCCCCAAGCTGAGGCCTCATGAGTCACTTTGTTGAAACCGACAAAGGAGGCAAAGGGGACTATGTGGACAAACAGAAGGACAGACACGGGCGCTAGGGTGGCTCATTTGGTTAAGTGTCTGCCTTGGGCTCAGGTCATGATCTCCCAGTTCATGAGTTTGAGCCCCATGTTGATCTCTGTGCTGACAGTGCAGAGCCTGTTTCGGATTCTCTCTCTCCCTCTCTCTCTGCCCCTCCTCCACTTGTGGGAGAGCACATGCACACGCATGCACTCTCTCTCTCTCTCAAAATAAATAAACTTAAAAAAAAAAGAAAAGAAAAGAAAAGAAAAGACAGACTGATAGGCTAGGACCGAGGCCCAGGGCCCAGCAAGGACTCTATGGGCATGGAAAGCCTCCCAGGGACCAGCTTAGTCTAGTAGCCAAGACTGACCAGACTCAGGCCCTCTCTCTCACTGGGAAAAGCTACCCTAATCCTGTTCTCCCAGACTTGGGTCATACTGCCTTGGAAAAGTCATTGAGATTCCCAGAGCCTCAGTTTCCTCATATGTGAATCAGACAAGGGGCTGCCGTCCGGCCAACTCCCAGGGCTATAGGAGTAGATGAGATGTGGCTAGAGAAGCAATTTGTGCTGAGTGATATGGGGCTAAGATGTATCCATCTGTAGAAGACACTGAGAGAGAGCCCTGATGTACAATGCACAACCCCATTATCTGCCCCCTGGCTCCAGGATGGCCTGGCACATTAACCCCCTCAGGCTATTCCCCCATCCCCAGGCATCTGGCTCCTTCCAACATGCAGACTCTTTCCAACATGCAGACTCTGGCTCCAGAGGCCTACTTCACCCAGCCTCCTCCTCCGGTTGTGCCCCATCCACATAGGTCCCTCGGAGGAGGCCAGAGTACAAGAAAGCAGGCAGATCCCGCTCTTGTCCAACTGTTCAAGCAGCCCCTCTGGGATGACTTTGGGCAGCACTCAGACCTCACCATGAGTTCTGGAAGGCTGCTGCAAATTGCAGGGGCAGGGTGAGCAGCTACCATGCAGGCAGAGAAGGCACTGGCCATCCAAAAACTAGCCAGAAGGGAAAGCTGCAAGGAGGTGGTCTAGCCGCCCAGGCCAGACACAGAAGGCGGCCCTGACATCGCCAGGCTGCCTCACAGGAGCAGTGTTTATGCTCCTGACAAGTGTCTGGGTGCCCTCTGCAGTTCCTGCCTCCGCCTGGGATGACTCAGTCCTCCTTGAGGGAGGCCCAGGCATCTAGTGCCAAGTCATGCTTGAGGATGCCTACTGTGAGGATGCCCCCTCCCATCATCCCTGGAGAGGCCCCAAGCACCAAGGTGGGCCCTGCGCCCAGTTTCACACAGCAACTCTCAGTGCTTCCTCGGCACAGCTCCGCTGATGGCCTCCAGGCATCACCTTCTATCTCTGCCCCTCCTCATCTTCCACGCAAGGTCTGCACCTCCAGCCCCACTCTTTCCAGCCATCTGGCTCCTTTCTGCAATGTTCCTGGGCAGATCAGACCCACAGGGTCCCCATTCCACTAAGCACTTCCCCCAAGCCTGCTCTTCCTCTGCCCCTGTCACAGAGCTATGTACCATCATTCTCCCAATTCTCCAGACACCCAGCAGTCCTCCATATCACTCAACTTCTCCCTTTGCTCATCCTTGCTCCCTGAGCTCCACACTTACTCTCTTCTCTGGCTGCACCACACCACTTGCAGCTTTCCAAACTGCTGGCTATCCTGCTGCCAGGACTTTGTACAAGTTGTGCCTTCTGCCAGGAACACACCTCCCTCTAGTTTGCTGCTGGAGGATAGCTCAGATATCTCCTCCTCCGGGGGCCCTCCTTGATCTCCTCACTGCTGCATGAGGTCACTAAGTCAAATTCCTTACAAAATCAGGATGTAGACCTCTGCTTTTCTTTCCCACTGCTTCTGCCACACAGCCTCCCCACTTCCAGGCTTGTACCCTGACTGCACCCCCTCCTCCACGAGTTGCTAGAGGGACTATTTCTAACATGCAAATATGGTCATGGTACTCCCCTACTGGGCCTTCCAGGAATTTGTAATCTGGAGGACAGAAGAGGAAGATACCTAGCCTCATACAGGGGCTCATAGGCTAGGTAGCAGCCAGAGACACGGACTTCTGGGATCCAAATCCGGAGTCA